AAAGAGTGTGGACATGCAAGGGGCATTCGCGGAGGTTGGCTGTCGGTCTGGCTTCTAGGCTGGTCTGCAATCGGAATTCCACAGCTTCTTTCCCTTCCTCCTTTAAATAGACGGGAGTTTTCGCAACGCAACGTGCATCACCTCCGACATCCGGTGAATAAACGGCCGGGAGGAGCAAGCGTTGGTGGCACGGGGACGCGGCCTGATGCAGTTGAGCTCTGCCGCTTCCTCACCAATAATCCCTGGCGTTGGCTTTGGCTCATTTTGTTCTCCCCCCTCCTCAGACCATCCCCAGCCAGTGCGCGCGCATTGACTTTTTCTTTCCCCCAGAGTAGTAGTCCCGAGCCACGAACGAGCTATCCGTTTTATTTTATTTTTTTTCTTTCTTTTCTTGTATCCTCCATTCCCCATCATTCAGCAAGCACAGCAATTCAATTCAAGTTGTCGTGTGGGTATTCGTAAATCCAACCAGAAAAGAAGTCTGGTTCCATCCAGATCTTGACTTCCCCAGCCTCCCAAGGACCGACTTTGCTGATTGCTGCTTATGCTGGCGGGCGGGGTTTAGCTCCAAACGTCACCTGCGAGTGAGGGGGATCGTAGTAATTTGGGGGTGAACTAGCTCAGTACCTCCTAGACTAGCTCTCAACCTGCCTTCTCTCCTCTTTGCTTTCCTTCTCGTCTTCGTGCACCTCACACTCGTTTGTTTTTATTTGTTTCTTTGCATCACTCCCTTTTCTCGTAGCTGGTGGTCTCGTCTGGATCGCGCGGCTCACCTCCCGCCGCAATGGTTCATGAAGGAAGTGCCGTTTACTGCACTGTATGTTCCGCCTCATCCCGTGATCACGTTGCCTGCTACTAATTGGTCCCCCAACAGCTTCTACTGAGTGATCACTATCTCCCAGGTATGCTTTGCTCCTGTGACTGTCAGACTACTGTTCAGAGCTCCCTTCCTGACTTGCTTCCACTCAATCTATAGGCGCCACCGTTCTTGCTCATTCTCTCCGCGACAATGGCTCTAAAGCTAAGCTGGTTGCTCTGTTCACCCCGGACAGCTTGCAGCCAGCAACAATCCAGGAACTTCAGGTGCGCGCGCATGCTTCGTTCACGCGAAACAACTCCCACCTCACAGGGCCATCACTGACTAGCGCGCCTTAGGCTGTTTATGATGAACTAATTCCCGTGCACCCTCTGACAAACATCACTCCAGCGAACCTCTGGCTCATGGATCGGCCGGACTTGATTGCAACCTTCACAAAGATCGAGCTCTGGCGCCAAACACAGTACAAGCGCATAGTCTACATTGATTGTGATGTGGTCGCACTCAGAGCGCCCGATGAGCTCCTAGATTTGGAGGTGGATTTCGCAGCGGTTCCAGACGTAGGCTGGCCGGATTGCTTCAACAGCGGTGTTATGGTGCTCCGTCCTAATCTACAGGATTACCTTGCTCTTAGAGCATTAGCAGAGCGAGGTATCAGTTTCGATGGCGCTGATCAGGGTCTTTTGAACATGCACTTTCGCGATTGGCACAGACTGAGCTTTTCGTACAATTGCACACCCAGTGCGAACTACCAGTATATTCCCGCCTACAAGCACTTTCAAAGTACGATCAGCATGATTCATTTTATTGGTGCCCAGAAGCCCTGGAACATGGCGAGGCAGGTAGAACCCATTCAATCTCCCTATAATCAGTTGCTGGGAAGATGGTGGGCTGTCTACGATAGGCACTATCGTCCTGTTGTGACTACGAATGTCAGTACTATCCCGTGGATAGCCATTGAGGCATGTCTACATAGTGTCCTTGAGCTAATTGTACCAGCAGCCAATCCAGCTACCTAAGCCTGTGCCTACAATTCAGGTGGAAACCCCACATCAGGAATTCTATGGGGGTCACCAGGAGGATGTACAGCCGCCGCCGCACAGGGAGTATACGGAGTATGTGTCTCATGAGCAAGCTCAAGAAACGCACTTCGACCCGTCGTCGCAAGCGCAATACGAACACCCGCAAGAACACCAACAGATTTCTCACCAGGACTTCGCGCCGTTCCAGCCGGCTCAGCCACCAACTCAGCCACCAGCATCGGCACCAAGCTACCCTACACAAGTTGCGCACGAGGCTCCACAGGGGCACCAAGCACATGAAAATTACCCACCGCATCCTCAACAGAGTGTGGCGACACCAGCTCCTGAACCTACGCCTGTAGCAGGTTCAAGCATACCCACCGAGCACGAGCAACGACAGGAACAGCGTGCGGTTGAGAGTGCACAAGCACCAATCATAAGTGCTGTTCCGCGGTATGTTCGTGGGGAAGAGCATGTCACGGCATACATACATCCTCAATCAGGCGAGACATCATTTGTAGCCCATAGCGAGCCGCAATCGTATGTATATGAACCTAGCGTGCCATCAAACATACAATCAGATCCTCCACAGTCACAATATGTCCAGCACGAGTACCATCAACAGCCTACAGAGCCAGTCAATGTGCCTGACGAGCAGCCACTTGCACCGCCGTCTCCAAAACCTGAAGTACAGACTACGTTTGAGCCACCCAAGGCAGAATGGGATGCATCTAAGTAAGCTACCGAAGAATCCTATTCAATAACTCATTGCTAACGCTTCTAGGGAACCTCCGCCACTGAACACGAAGCCAGAAGGTATCGCTTTGGAGAAGAAGACCTACGCCATGTCGCAGGATGAGCAGCTTTTCCAGCCACCAGAATCCTACCCGGAAGCACCCAAAAACATGTACTATGAAGTCCCAAGCACCAAGCCGGAGCCTGAAAAGCTCGCCCAGGTATTTCCCTGGGAAACTCGTGCGCCTCGACCCACACGCGTGTTCCCAGAAGACGACCAGAGCTCAATTACATTTACGCTTCCAAGATCGTTCATTGAAAGCACAGAAGATGAGTCTGGCCCGTCACCTGATTCTCGAGTGACGTCCTGGACGTCTGAAGATCCAACTGAATCCTGGGACTCTTACACGCGGTCTAATGCTTGGGACGAAATCCCGGAGATCCAAAGATACATCCAATCCATACAACAAGCCCGCAAAGGCAAGGTGCAGGTGCTCACCGGCGGCCCATCCAGCACAGGACAGAGCCTAGTATCCGGCCAAGAAAGATACACTTTCAGCTGGTCCAACAATACACGGGTGACAGACTTCCCCAGCGAGCAAGAACGGCCTAGCCTCCCCGTAACCCCCGCACCTATTCGCAGAAAGGCCCCTATCCCAGGTGAAGAAGACTCCGACACAGGCCTACTCCCGCCCGCACACGGTGTGCCGAACCAGGAGGACTGGGTGGGTATCACGGTTGATATCTTTTTGCACCTCCTTCGAGCGACGTACTTATATTGGAGATTTACAGAACCCTACAGTCGGCCTCGAGGATCTTCGTCGACGTCAGTCCGAAGTGTTGGAAAATCCAGATTTGCTGTTTGAGCGGATCTTGATGCGCTCATCGGCTGCTTCTGGTCATGCTTGAGGGAGTCATATTCATGAGTTTACGTACGATATTATGTGTGAAATGCGTTTGTTTTGAGCATTGATTCTGTTTATTCATTCCTCGGCAATGCGAGTTTTATCTTTATCCCTTAGCTAGCTGTCTTTTGTTTTGCATTTTGTGTTTCGTGTGTGCACACAGCATTGTTATCTTCGCTAGTACTCCCTTCTTGTTTGTTCCTTCTATACCTTGTCTGGCATTGTACAGTATCTTATTGACCCACATGCATATGCATCCGATTGCTGTGTTGTTTCGTTTTGCGGATACAAACTGTTACTATGCCATACGTTAGGAGCGCATCCTTGTGATTTTGACCTGCTTCGAGTGTTCAAGACTGAGTTGACGACTGTTATTCTATGTTTATTAATACTGTGGTTTGATTGAGCGAATGAAAGAGCTGTGATGTGTTGTGAGAGTTTGGCTCTAGTCAGCAACTCCTCAACCTCCTAAGAATATTTAGATGCCCTCGTCTAATCTAGTCCACAAACAGCAGATGGATATCGAATGACAAGACGCCAAGCAACTAAACGCAACCACCAAGCTAAGAACAACTAGGGGAGGTATAAGAATAAAAAGAAACAAACAACGACTCAAATCAACACCGCTCTCCCCGGACCGAATAAACATGCGACGTCTTGATATGACAGGCCTTGCCGGTCTTATCATCGAAGATGGAGAAGCCGTGCGTTGCCGCGTTGGGAGGCGTGTATACTTTCAATTTATCGAAGTTAGCATGCCATCACACCCATAGTAATCATCATGATATGATGATAGACTTACAATGCAACGACACGGCATAGTCATTGGGATCCGGATTCGAGATCCTGTGAAGGCCCAGCTGTAACATGCGACTCAGTGTTAGCCATACTACACCAAAGATGATACCCGGTCCAATCATCACAACAGAACATATCAGACGAACCTTGTCGGACATATACGTAACCTGATTCTCACCGTATACAGTCTCCTTTTTTATTTGCGGTGGAGACGATTCTCCATTTTGGAGCTTGTCTTGATCTGGCCAGGCATAGAGGGTTTCTTTTAAAGAGCCTTTTAGGATCTACATCAAAGTGTTTGCATCGTTGGTCAGCTTTGTGGGCGGATCACCTCTTTCTTATGGAGAATATAGTACCTTCATGACGCAGTGCGCATTGGCGTGATCATGTATTGCGCTTCCTTTTCCGGGGCTCCAGACTAGGATGAGCTTGAATATCTTATGTTAGTATAGATCTGTGATAGTACATAGTTTCTATGCCATTGTACATAAGAACGGCGGATAAAACGCAAGCAAGTACGAGCAACTCACCAAATTGCTCTTGCCATTGCCCTCATCGATGAGGTTCCTCGTGTAGTTCTTTTTCGAGTCTCCCAGCGCAAAGGGGAGCCATTCATCTGGGTTTGAATCATATTGCTCCATTAAGCGCAGGATGTCCATTGGATCAATGTCATCGGAATCTAGACCCGAGCTCGGACCCAGAGCGTCACTTAGATCTTGGACAAGGTTCTCGAAGCCATTTTTGGAAGAAAAATAAGGTTTGGAGGGGGTGTCTGTGTTGATGTATGGCATGCTGGTTATGTATCTTTGGTCTCTTATGAAAAACAATGCTTTCGTGCTTTTCCTTGGTTCGGTGTTGTATGATATAGATATTTTCGGTTATCGGAGGATTCGGAAGGAAGTATAGATAGAGGGTGGTGGTAAAGACAGAGTGCAGAAGGAATGTGTAGGTGTCCTTCAATGGACAGAATGAACTTATGAATTGGACGCAAACAAGAATAGTAACTCAAACAGCATCCATTGCAGCCACTAAGAATACGAGTCACCAGCCAATGTATCTGAACGTTAAGAATTGCGTGATGGTGGTGGATATGTGGGATGAACCCCGATCCCGGCGGAAGGAAAAGCTCTTGCCACAATCGCCGATAAGCGTGGATTGGATGCCTGAACATTTCATGCCTGAGGCAACCTCCCCGCCATGTGACGAAGCAAACGGACAAATGAAGTGGCGGCCACAATTTCAAAGATTGTATCTCCACCATTGCGACTGACATACCGCGAGCGTTTTCGTTCAGGTTTCTCACCACGACACCGTTGGAAAAGGGTTTCGATCGCTAGGGCGGAAATCCTACAATATTAGATTTCCTTGATTTTCTTTCTTTTGTCTTGCATAGTCTCTTTTCTTTTTTTGTACCGTGTGCGAGGGGTGAAACTCGTATAAAACCGCCAAAATGTCGACAACCGTGGAGAAGGTTGGATAGCCCGCCACTATTGCTCTATTCTATTTCTTTTTACTGTTCATATTGAAAGTTATAATATCAGACTGGATTATGCTGACTGTCTTTGTGTGTACAAATGTAGATCAAACAAGTCGAGGACGAGGTTCGCGCCGAATGCCCGCTAAAATTATCTTGCGCCGGAATTCGTATACTGATCGGTATTTCAGATGGCTCGGACTCAGAAGAACAAGGCGACGGCTTATCACTTGGGTATGAGACGAACGGGTTTGGAGGTGGTTCGAGGACAGACAGAGCTGATGGTATCGTGCAGGACAGTTGAAGGCCAAGCTTGCTAAGCTGAAGCGAGAGCTGTTGACTCCGACTGGCGGTGGTGGCGGCGGCGGCGGTGGTAAGTGGAGAGTGATTGTATCGAATGGATGTGTCAGTTATTGACTATTGGATTGCTAGCTGGTTTCGATGTCGCCCGTACCGGTGTTGCTAGTGTGTATGTCGCATGACAAGTCTTGAAGGAGTGTGGGATATCTACTGACTCTGGATAGTGGTTTCATTGGTTTCCCGTCCGTCGGAAAGAGTACCTTGATGAGCAGATTGACTGGCCAACATTCCGAAGGTTCGTTGCAGGCAAGTGCCAGTCAATGGTAATGGTGCTAATGGTACTTTGTCTAGCTGCTGCTTATGAGTTCACGACTTTGACGACTGTCCCTGGTCAAGTGATGTACAACGGTGCTAAGATTCAGATTCTCGATCTTCCTGGTATTATTCAGGGTGCCAAAGATGGTAAAGGTCGTGGTCGACAGGTCATTGCAGTGGCCAAGACCTGCCATCTCATTTTCATCGTGCTCGACGTCAACAAGCCGCTAGTCGACAAGAAGGTCATCGAGAACGAATTGGAGGGATTTGGTATCCGTATCAACAAGCAGCCGCCCAACATCACTTTCAAGAAGAAGGACAAGGGTGGTATTGCCATCACAAGCACCGTCCCTCTGACACATATTGATCACGACGTGGGTTTCCAGAACACAGAGTACGTTGACGTGCACTCGGGCTGACTTTGATCATTAGGAAATCAAAGCTGTCATGAGCGAGTACAAGATCTCGTCGGCAGATATCGCCATTAGATGTGACGCAACGATTGATGACCTTATTGATGTTCTTGAAGCTAAGAGTCGGGCTTACATCCCCGTTGTCTATGCCCTGAACAAGATTGACGCTATTACGATTGAGGAGTTGGATTTGCTGTACCGGATACCTAACGCCTGCCCGATCAGTTCTGAGCATGGCTGGAACATCGACGAACTTTTGGAGATGATGTGGGCAAAGCTCAACCTCCGACGCATCTACACCAAGCCTAAAGGAAAGGCACCCGATTACACGGCCCCCGTGGTGCTCAGAGCGCATGCTTGCACGGTCGAGGATTTCGTAAGGCTCCCTTTACCTCGGCAGGTCCGACCATCCTTGTTAGACGGGATCCGCTGACGCGCAATCAGTGTAATCAAATTCACAGGACGATCAAGGACCAGTTCAAGCACGCTATTGTGTATGGTCGCTCCGTGAAGCACCAGCCGCAGCGTGTTGGTCTGTCACACGAGCTGGCAGACGAAGATATCGGTTCGTACTTCTTCTTTAGCTTCAACCTCAAACACGCGATCATTAGGATCTCCAGGGCTAACTAGCGGGGGTGTGAACTGCAGTGTCGATTGTCAAGCGGTAAATGAGTCTTTACTGGAGCGCGAATCCAATCCTTGAAGGATCCGCTTTTATGAACGGGGCGAGAGCTATGGCGAATCGAAATCGGACTCGAATAGGGAATCGAAATCGGTAGCGGTGTTGGGGCTGCTTCGCCAAGTATCAGGTCCAAAGAGGCCCGGCCCTTGTGACATATTTCCGTGAGATGCCATAAGGATTGTGATTGGGGGAAGACGAGGTGCGCACGGGCAGCAAGAAGAAGCTGGCGAACGCCGCCCTGGAATTTCAGCACGATCACTCGTCTGGAAGACGGAAGCCTGGATGGGATAGACACCATGGAGTCAGTATGGATCGGATTGCTTCTCTTCTATCTACTACTACTCAAATCTGTGTGATGCGCGATCCTCTTTTAGGAAGGCGAAGAAGGAGAGAAAAAAAACAAAAGCGGCTTTGGAGGCAGGGAGTTTTTGTTACGAACGCTGAAAAAAAGGGCTGGAATAGGGTACTATTTTCTTTTTCTTTCTTTCTCTTCCAATCTGTTCTTCTGGATCAGCGGTACTTAAGTAGTCCTGCCGTTTTTATATTTTCTTTTATTTTTTGGGGTTTCATTTTTATTTTCTTTCTATTCTTGTTTCTTTATTGGAGCGTTCCTTCGATCCATCGATCCATCCATCCATCCATCCTTGGTTGATGATGTACTATGGTCGAAGCCGGTTGTCCCGATCCGAGAAAAAAAAGACAAGAGAAAGAAAGACAAGAAGATCGGGGATGTTCTAGATCTAAAGGCCCAGACTAGCATTTCCAGTCTCGTAGACCAACATAAACCCAATTAGACTACCTACCACACACATACTTCCATTTCATGCACACACAGATCAATCGAGTAACTCTCGAACCACTAGTTAGTTACCAAGTTCCGTGCGGAGGGATTTGCTTCGCTTACTACTACGTACTTATACCAACTACCTTTCGGTTCCTTAATTGATTTGATTTGATTTAGATTACGATTGATTGATTGACCGACCGCTTCCTTCCTTCCTTCCTTACTACCTGGCCCAGGCGCAGTTCAGTTGTCTGTCTATTTATTCAACAAAATTTAAGTTCGAGGCCGGCTACCACATCCACATCGCTTGGACCAGCCGAACCCAGGCCTGTGCTTTTTTGACTAGTTAGCTAGTTAGCAAGCAAGCAAGAAAACGAAAAAGCAAGAAAGCAAAAGAAAAACACAGCGCACGTCCCTCTGATCATTATTATCATGTTATTTCTTATTTTTGTTTGGTTCTTCCCTTCCTTGCCGAGTTTCCTTCCTTCCTGCTCTAATCAATGCAGTCATTTATCAGGAGTGGGAAGAGAAGCTATGATTCAGGATAGTATAATGAAGATGATCCATGCGCTCAATGTAAAAGTGCATACATACGCACTGTCCACCCTTCCCCGTGCTTTGGGCTATCTGATCATCATATAACTCTTATCACCTGGTGATTATGTTGCTGCTGCTGCTGCGCTGTATGTTATGTATGTATGTGCGAATGTATGTGGATAGAAGGACTGAACACATTTAAGCATTGCTTCTATTGCTGCGCTGGGATCGGATTTCCGATGCGATCTATAACTTATGCGAGGGGGTAGTAGTAGTAAGTAAATGAAGAAGATACCCTCGTCTGGTCTGGACATTTGTATATACTATCTCAATGCTAGATGTAGATGGATAGTGTTTTAGCAATTTGGATTTGGGACAGCTCGCTGGGTTGTTAGTTGAGTAGTAGTGACCCCGAATTTGAGACATGAAAACTTAGGTAAGTAGATAGATAGTAGGCAATCAGGAATCAATCCGACTTAACTACTACTACGACGGTGCTATTCTTACCGTTCGCGACCAATTTAGCAACTCAGGAGTCAGGTCCAATCAAGATGGAGAAATGGGGTGGCTTTTTCTTGGTCCATTTTAAACGAAGGCTCCATTTATACGAGTGGAGGGCCAAGATTGGAAACGCCTCTGGGGTTAGTTAACGTAAGTAAGCAAGAAAGAAGGAAACTTGAAGATCGGTGCGTTTTTTTTCTAGCTAATATGTAGTAGTTGTTACTAGTTAGTGTACGGGTGGATTGAGGGGGTGGAATTGGGTCGGGCACGACTGCCAGGCCAGTCTCCTCTAATGTAGTATTCAAATTGGTGCTGTGGTAATTCTTTGATATTGAAATAGATAATTAAATGAATTAATGTGGGATAGTAATGCCATGCCCAACTAACAGTTACATAGTATTCTTGTAGTACCTGACCTTCTGCAGCTAATGGCTGCGCCTGCAGATGCGGACAGGGTCTGGGGTACTTGGGAGGAGAACACTTCGAGAGGACACACTCACCTCCATCCAGCAGGGATTATTATCTTATTAGTTGACTAGTTTAAGTCAGTACTTGGTAGTAAGTAATTCGGTCTGCCCCCTTCAGCCGAGTCTTCATTTATTTCTCATTTGCTGGGATGACGTACCTGTCATGACCGTACGGTACGATTACCAGGAGAGGGGGGTAAGTACCGATACCGACGTACTATACTTACTGGAGTAAGTAGTAAGAGAGGCGGCGTAATTGGTCAATCATTAGCCATCGTCTAGATACTTAGTTAGTATCTAGACCATGGCGTCAGTGATTCAGAAAGTTTCTCTCGGGTTTGCGATCTTATTCTTTTCTCGCAGCGCTGGCGGTTTCTCGGAAATATGGTGAGCTTATGGCTAGTATCCTGGGTTCAATTCGGCAGTTACTAAACAGAGTAATTGTTCGACTTCGGATGAGAATGGCTTAATCATTTCACTACCTTGTCTATCATCTAGTCAGTTATTAGGTTAGTCTCTTAATTTTCTTTCTAATTACTATATTGCAGGACATCTCCTCATCTCTCAACGACCGGATAAGTAATTTGGTCAGTGTCAACGCCCCCCTGGACCAATGACCGGCTCCAGGCGAGGCTCTTGATAACCGACTACTCCATGCGATAATGCAGGTTAGAAGTTTTCCTCGGAGTATAGAGTACCCTGTGCATGGCTACTGACAGTCTCTCAAGAAGCGGTCTGCGCGGGCGAGCGGGATGGAAAGAAGCTGTCATGACGGGCGGCAATTATTCCCTGCACATAACAAGACCTCATTCCTATAAGATCCGGGAAATCCCCTCAGTATTACTAATCCTGCGAAGCGGAGCTTGTCCTGCGCCTTACTTCAAAGTCTGCGTCCTTCTGCATATGACGGGCGAGTCACCGTTGCTGTTAGTTAATGCACGACTGCTTTTTTTTTTTTGCGGCGGGCTGGGTGGGGAGGGCAAGGGAAATGGGCTAGGTTGTATACAAAACTTGGTAGCGATGGGGGAAGGATGCGTGAGACCCCCCCAGCAGGAAATGGTGGGAAGGAGGGGCAAAACTAGGAACGAAATTAGGGAGGACAAGCCCGAGCTGGAGACACTAAACAGGCTGGAAAAGCAAGCGGACAGGGAACCTCAGCCAAGTGGAGCAGTTTAACATGGCTGATGATGATCATTTCAGCAGATAACCTCCTGCAGTGATGGGGTGCCGTTCTCAAACCCCGAGTATCTCCAGCAAGATGGTGAATGGCCAAATGACGAATACTGATGATCTAGCGAAGATTGGATAATGCATCCGATCGAAGCGTCATTTTTTTTTTCTTACCACCCTGGTCACTTGCGAGAATACGTTGTCTCCTGATGTTGAGATCTGCTCTTCTGCTGCGGCACAGCCTCGATAGACAGGCCGAATGGATGTCTGAAGAAGGCCTCGCCAAGAGTTATGGCTGAAATCTCCCCTAGTCCCCGTGATTCCCAATTCTCAGTTCTCCATAAAACCCAGACGAATTTTTGCTCATCAGATGACCGAAAATGCACCGTCCGACGGACGTTGATTCCCACTGGGAAGTGGAGGCTGCATTGCATCTGAGTGCTTTTCCTTCTCCCGTCTCACCTTATTTGCCGGGAATATCACGATGCGAAACGGCCTCGCACAAATGAGCTTTCTTGTTACGCCATTTCTCTTCACCACCGTCCCTTCCAGGCAATTTTGCCTTGGATAACGCGGTATCCTCGGCCTTCACCATAGCCAATACAGCCGTGGTGGCTTGCGCTGGTCAACACACAAAGGAAACCCCACGACGAGGTCGCTGTTTGTGAGGAATGGCGCTTGAAGCGGAGAAGGGTATTGTAAAGGTCAAGGAACCCTTATATCGGCGATCGGAAGACATGGAGATGGGTAGAAGGGTAAGTGGTATGTTACCTGTTTCGGGATCGTAGGATCTGGTCAGGCAGGCGCGAACTGCACCCGCCAATCTCCACTCCGATGTAGGCCTCAGATCTCGCTTTTTTACTACACACTCACACTTACACACACACATACCTCGGCCTCCTTGATCCCACCGCTACATAGTCGTCCAGCAGACGCCCGCCACTGTCCACTAGTTACTCATGGTTCAATCTGTCCTTCCAAAGTGATGTCATACTCACTGAGACATTTAATCAGGCATTTGTCGGACTCGGAAGTGTTCCGTTTAGGGCGAATCACCCCTCTCCTCGAATCCCACCATGGGCGGTTACGGTGGTAATTAGCCAGGTAGACTGGTGGCACAGCGGTGCACACTGCATGTACCTGGGACATGCTACATTGGAATAAACGAATCCAGTAGAAGCCCCCTTGACTCCTGCAATGGCTTGTGTACCTGACAGATATCTATTATTGGTCTGGTAAACCGGTAAGGCTACCACGAAATGGTGCCTCATTCGGTGCCTGTTGTCGCACCCCCGGCCCGTCCCCGGCCATTCCCCTTTCCGACCCTCTCCTCTGCTATGCACTTACATACCCTGGTCCATGCGAGGCCCTGTCGCTGAGCGGATCATCAGATTCAGCCAGTAGAAGTTCGGCTCTAAGCGCCGTCACCAGCAGCTGCTGGCCTCTACTATGACCTCAATGCTTCTTGTGCGATATCCTCCCTTTCCTTTCCCACTTCAGCTTTCTTTTGGAAGGGGCGAAATGCAACATCTTGAGAACTGGACCGACCAGGCAGAAGCGAGTCAGAAAGAAAAATCTGTGTGTAAAGAGTATGTGTGACTTTCATCAGTATACATCAGTGAAGCTAGCAAGCCTCCCTCCACATTGGAAGCGTATATTGGATTATCGCTTCATGTGGTAATGTTTCATAAATTCCAAATAACCGGCTCCTCTGATTGGATATACAAGCAGATCATCTGTTGGACGTTCGGCTGTGCTGCTACGCACGGAAAGTGGCAACGACCTTTGAAGAAGATAGTAGGGTTCATGGTAACAATATCCGTTGTCTCAGGGAGCTTTGCTTACAATCAGTATCAGCTTTCGTCAGCTTTCATTCTTATTTTTTTCATTGTATCCTTTCATCTTGCTGATACACTCAATTCTATCGTTATATTAGTTGTTATAGACTTCTGTCTATGCTGTCGCTTTAAATTAATTTCATATACATCATACCGTGACGGGTAGTCAAGGCTCGACTGGGCGGCAAATGTATTACATACAGTCACTTAGTACCTGACTCACGACAGCAGCCTCGTGGCCATCCGCCCAAGCGGGGCGGATTGGCCACGGAAGATGCAATCAGAAATGATTCCAGATCAGTCTCACATCCCCGAAGGGTACAGCATACGTCCTTACATAACGTTTGATACCAAAAGACAAAATACGGGGAACTCTTAGCCCCTAGTACTATTTGGGCACTATTGAAGCCCCAGTAAGGCTGCACTTGCAGGGAGACCTGTCGCGTTCCGCTCAGGGCACCCAGAAGTCGCACGGCAAGAGGGTCGAAGTGGAATGCAGTACCTTTTTTTCTTTCCTCCCCTCTACTAATCAGTACCTGGTCAGTTTATGTTGGCTGATAAGATATACTGTTTTAGCGGACATTTGGGGGGGGAAGAAGGAGGAGGGGGGCGCACTTTGACAGGAAGTTAATTCCAACCGTCCGACTCCGACTCCGACTCCCAGGGAGTCAGACAAGTAGGGCTAAAAGCTTGCAATGATTCGCAGTGGACTGAAAGTTACACCGGACCTAGGAAAAGTTTTACCCTCGAATGATCAATGGCCGATCACTATCTTCACGTTCAAGGCGGGTAGGTAAGCATGGCCCAATGCGTCGAAACTCTCATCCGCCCAATCCATCCCCTCTGTTACTCGCACAACGGAGTTCCCCCCGTGCCTGAAATTCTTCCAACCTTTTGCTATTTTCATATCCCAAGAATCTTCTTTGCCTTTGCATTGCTTCCAGAAGACCAACGACAGCCCCTCCTCAATCCACTCCTACCAATTTCTCTGGGTACGACTTGTGCGACGATTTGCATTGCTTACTTAGGTTGTCGGCCCGGAGTGGACCGCAGCGGGTCCCAGGTGGACCGTGGGGTCCTAGCTCTAGGACCTCATGCTGGTTTGAACTTCAGTCGTGCTAAAAGGAACCGACTCTTCCTGACTAGAACCCATCCGGTCTGTGCGCTCTCTGATAGGGGGAGTCTGGATTTCAACCCTGGTCAACCCCCATGTTAGCATGGCAGGCAAAATAAATTGAAATCGGTCTGCCGCCTCTCATTCGTCCATATAATTGTCTGACGGTATTTTCTCGTGACAAAGTACTATGCAGATCGCATTTACTCGCTGATGACTGGCTGTCGGCTTGGGCGTCGACTATTGGTGAGCAGGCCCGAGTCACTTCCAGGCAAAGAAAAGAAAATTGAGAATAAAATATTTAAGAAAAAAAAAAAAAAAAAACATGCATAGTATGATTGAATAATCATTATTCATCCGAATTGCGCTAAGCAAGGGGAGAGCGAGGGAAATATACGGAATCCTCAGATGTGTGAAGTCTATTATGCCATGGACGGAAACTCGGCGTCGGAATCATATTCTGACAACCTTCCTAATACCAGTAAGGTAACAGAAACTACTTCCGAAAGTGGCAATCTAGCTTAACCAGCTGCACCACTCAGGCCTCATCGCCTTTAGTCTCCCTGAAAGATCGACCGCTTTTTGCCGGTGTCAATGTTTCTTCCTATTCCCTTTTCTTCCCTTTTCTTATATTTCTTTTTTTCGTCTTTTGTCATTTTATTTTTCTTCCCTTTCCTTTCCACACCCCCTCCCTTCTCCTCATAGGCTACTACTTCCTTACTATCTCCTGATGACCTGTACTTCTACATTTCCAGTGACCTTCCCCTCATCTCATGCGACCACTCCCCTGGTCTCCACCTTCTTCAGTCAGATCTGACATTCGGTCAACGCCACAAAGCGACATGGACCGGGCAGTGCTGGGAATTGAGAAATCCCACTTATCATCCTGGGGACTATCTCCAGTAGGAAACCGTTGGGATTTCGCCGCTTGATAATGAGCGACATTCCAGTATAGTTTCGAAGTTCTTTCTTTGTCCGCAAGTATGTCATGCGGGCATTTAGGTTCAGCGGTTTATCGATCCGTTCCCCGTTCCGTCAATTGAACCTTGGTTTGCCCTCGAGGGTTCCTCTCAACCTTCCATAACTTTTGTCCGAGCCGATCCCCTCATCTATTCGTTGGTGCCTGGTCCACTCACATCGCTCTTCGTCCCAGTTGCGGGATATATTGCTTCCAAAATGAATGTTCTACAGGATGGATGGAAGATAAAACGCGCAACATCCATATAATTAATCTAAGTAGAGGCGAGACAAGCCAACAATGGTTAAGAAAGCAAAAAGAAAGTACAGGCTCCTCTCTCTAAAACAAATGAAAATTAGAAAGATGGAGAGACAGATAATAGAAATCGAGCTATACTTCTTTCAATTGGAAATAGAGGATAGGCAACCTAGAGAAAGAAAGAAGAGATAGACAAGAATAGCAGGAGAAAAAAAGGTTAATTGTCCATTCTCGTAGTTGACCTATCCCTTTCATCCATCCACCGTTCAATTGCCCTTTTTGAGTTATCAACGACATTATCATGGATACCAGGTTCTGCTGCTCCACCTGGAATCGGGTACGGTCTCTAAGTACCCAATGTCCTCTCAGTGATCTCGACTAACCAAGTATATCCTGCGCTAGGCCAACGGTCATTGGTGTAGTTGACCGCCAGTGTAACACCAGGAAGCAAAGGAAAATCTCTGCGGTGGGAGGAGAAGACACACCCCCATCATCATGTCATTCTGTCAAGCTCGGGGGGCCTACTGCTGCTACTTCCATACTTTGCCTGATTGCCAGTTAGGAACGGACCATTCGCAACCACGATACGAGCCGTCATGCACGATACAGGATGCTGACCCGATGTGGTACGAGGCCTTACCATGCGTCTTTAGTGGTATTTGGTCCCAAAGGCAGATCCCTGCTGGTCAATCTAGATCCCTGCCAATCAGCGGCAGTTCCCCCACCCATCATCTGGTTGGGGTTTAGCGTGCCTGCCTTCACTCTGAATTACTATTCGATTTCGCGGCCCAATCGTCGTGCAAGACCTGCGTCTTTTTATTTTCTTATTTTTTATTATTATTTGTTTTTTTCTATTTTCTGATTTTTCTTATTTTTCTTTTTTCTTTTTTGAATATTAGTCCCCCCCTAAACCTTCCCTTTTCTCTCTATTTCACCCACAGCTCCAGGTTTCTCGCTATCTGGAAATCTGGATGTATCGCATCGTCGGCGGCGGCCTCGTGTCTGGCTGTCCGTAATAATCTCCTTGGATAGATCTGATAGGTTAGGTATCAACGAACCGGGGGGTCCCCTCTTCAATATCGGTGGGATCCAGCCCTTCGATGTATCTCAGTAACTTCGTAGTACTTAGTTTCCGGGTAGGAGGTCCTATCTATCTGTATCGATTCTCATCGGCTGATGCAGAACAGGAAGCAGGTTACCTAGAGCATTTACGACTTACTACTAGTACTAGTAATCTCCAGTCGGGACATCAGTACGGAGGTTACCGACTGATCTACCAGCTAGAACCTGAAATAGTAGGAGTAAGTATACCACGAAATACGCTCTAGGTACATTTTCCCTTAGTTCGTACTCAGTAGGTACTGCACAAACCTACTACATCCATGCATTGGGTATTACTATATCTACTACTTTTGCTACTTACTTTCCCTTCCATAACCTACTGCAACCACTACAACCACTGCTACTACTGCATTTACTACTACTACTGCCTTCTCCGCCCAGTTTTGTCCGTGAACTGACGTACCTTCCGTACCTTACCCTTTTACCTCCCATCTCCTAGTCGTTGTTTCCTTCTCCAATTGATTCTCTTCCTTCCCTGATCGTCCCTGTGCCGGTGGCCTGGCCTGTCCCTTTTTTAAACTCCAGGCTTTACCCACCCGCCGCACTTCCTCCCACCCCTCCCCCATAAGACGACCCGCCTCTCCATTTTTCCGTTCTTTTCCCCCCTTGTACAGAAAAAGATCAGACTCCAAGCCTGCTGCAGGTGTCTGGTATGCGCTACTACTCTAGGAACCTTTCCGAACTACGAGTGTGAAGGAGATTTGCTCCCGAGGATCTTCGCTTTCCATCCGCTCCAGTTAATGCATGCGAGCGCCTCAGCTTCCGTAATCGCACCATCTTTCTCGTCTATCATCCGTTCAAGCTCGAACATGCGTCTGCCTACCTCGTCTTGGCCTTAAGCTGTCCGTCGTTACTGGACATTCCTTTTCTTTGCTTTTTTCACCCGTCTATCGATTCCCAAATCACCCGATCTCGGTCTTTATAACCTCTATAGTGCGCCGATAGACTGTCCTCGTCGGGCACTGACTTCGGTGCAACCATCACCACCACTCACGAACAATTGTGATATCACTACCCCTCTTAATCTCTCATCCTCCGCATACAGCCTCCACGCTTAGGGCTCGCTCGCCAGACATGGACACAGAGAGCAGCCATGCGCAGGAACATGACTTTGCGCAGACTTCCTGGCTTGATATAGGTGGATTCAGTCCCTCCGAGCAGTCTCCAACGCTGGAATACCAAGCTTTTGGATACGGAGTCGTACCACTAGATCCATCCTATGGCGTCGATATCCCTCCACCTTATGAGACATTGCCAATAGCTATGCCTCCACCCCCGAGTTCCTGGCCTAGTATGCTTTCAAACCAAGGGCCGTTCCCGGAACCGGGCATGCCAGCTGTACCCTTGATGCAGGCACCACCCACACTGGCCCCGGTGCCAACTATGCCAGAAGTTCCTCGCAAGGCATCTATTAGCAAGGCATCTACAGGCAAGTCGACGGCTGGGAAATCATCATCCGGCAAGTCATCCAGTGGAAAGTCGAATAGCAACCCAACGCCTCGCAGGACTCTGACAGATGAAGACCGTCGGCGGATGTGTCTTTATCACGAGGAGAATAAGACAGCCAAGCAAACAGACATTGGAGGTAAAGCGTTCTCTAATCCTACTGAGGGAAGATACTTCAGACTAACTAGTACATTTTGCAGCATTATTTGGTGTCGAAAGAAGGTAAAGTCACCCTTAGAGGATCCCACTCGCTGAGAAAATCGTCTAACTGGTATGATTAAAGCACTGTCTCAAAGGTCCTGCGGCAGAAGGATAAGTATCTCAATCCAGACGATGGCAGTCGATCTCCCATCAAGCGTGCCAAAGGAAGAGTCCCAGATATTGAAAAGGCTTTGTCTAATTGGGCACGGAACTACCAGAAACAGGGCTACCCGTTGAACGATGAGATGATACGTGAGAAGGCCCTTTTCTTTGCTAGTACCTGTGGCAGTTCAGACGGCAAGGAGAAGGTGCTAAGTACCAGTTGGTTGGAGAAATTCAAACGCAAGTATAATTTGATGGGTGCAAGGAATCGCAAGGGCTCCTGGGCCAGTACAAAGAGCGAATCGGATAGCCCTACTTGTTTGAGCATCGATTCAGCACTGGCGTCCGCGGTTCAATCGCCTACCCTACTCTCGCCTACATCCCCCACAGGCTTCCTATCACCATTGCCGCTATCACCGGTCCAGAGCAATGAGAATATCAGGGGCGAGCTTGTCCAGAGCCTTGCAGAGATTGCAAGTGACTATCAGCACACGCATACCAAGAGTACAACCTCACTGGACACAACATGCTCTTTCTCTGCTGGGGTTACCAGCCCGACATCCACTTTCGTGACCGAAAGTCCATTTACTCCTACTAGCCAGTCCCTTGGTTCATCCGTGGATGGCAATTCCACCAGACCACGCAGCCAAACATTTCCGCTCAGTTCGTCCGACCCGAACCTTATGTGCCCTGATGAAAACTCCGAGCATTTGACAAAAGCCGCACTACGACAGTCACTCTCAATCTCAGAACATCAAGCTCCCCCTGAGGAACATCACGACCAGAAATTCCTCCCAGCGCTTGATACGTCTGCGAATACAATCAAACGCAATCGGAGCAATCCGGAATTTAAAGCCAAGTCCATACATCCACCATTGTTCTCGAAGTCCAACACTGTGTCTCCGGTTAGCTCCCCGGGTTCGCCAACCCAGGATGAAGCTAGGAGAGCACTAGAGCTCGTGATGAATTACTTCAAACAGCAACCGTCAGGACTTGGGGCAGATGATTACATGACAATTGGGAAGTTGATGGAAAGGCTTGAGCTCGCCAAGGCACAGCAAGTGACCCTTCCGGGGGGTCTCACTCGAATTGACGAACATGAAGATTCACCTCAATTGAACAGGAAGAGGAGCATCCACAGCCTTGGCTAGACAGTCCTGTTTTTGCCAGTGATCTCCCGAACCATGGCATCATAAACATGTAGCGACTACATGTGATCATTACCTTTGGCATATTATCCTAATATTCTCTTTGGTGTTTCTCTATTGCTCTTTTCATTATACCACATATGATTATGTTTACCGGGCGGTCTTCTGCTTTACCATTGCATTTTCATGCCAGATCGAATGTGTCAGTCAGTGGCTCTGCGATACTGCCGAGGCCCTGAGAAAAATCTCTTTTGTTGATGATACACCGCGCGAGGGCAACCTCAAATATCCGGTCTAAAGGGAAGGGAACGCAGGTGCTTGGTCCTGTTCGCAGGACCTTTTGGTGTTGAGAGGAGTGTCGCTTTGGAATACGGCCGTTGGGATGTTTTTTATTTTTGTCTTTTTTACTATTTGGCTCATATACTTCTGTCTCGAGACGAGCATATTATCCAGAACTTACCCGCTCGCGCGGATTTGCCTGCATCTGCACTTGTGTCACTATTCTGTACCTGTCCTTCCTTGCTTTCCTCTGTTCATGGAACATCTTTTGGAATCCTTGTGCATTAACCTGATGTGCGTTGATAGGGCTGCCAGCCGGGGTAAACACTACTGGCAAACAACCTGGAAGACTCGTGATCATACGGTATCCAGACTAATTGTGGCTTTTCTTTTTTCTTTTCCCTCTTTACTTCTCTTCTTTCTTATTTGTCGTTGCTTTAGTGATTATTATTTTTTCACACCGCATTCTGCGCTATTCCCACCAACTAATACCTTGTTTGATCCTCCCCCCGGTCCTTTATGCGCTGTCTCTGGGGAGATGGGCTGGTCTAATTCGACAGATAAGGCACCCATCCATAAGGGACCCTGTCAGGTCCTTCGGCCTGCCAGCAACCGGGGCTTCCCCCCTCCCCACGGCTAGCACGCCTGGATCGGGAGGCCTTCTCATTCGTTGACTCTTCTGCAGGTTTGCCTCGTTTCTTTTTTGACGTTCGGCCCAGGCAAGATGGCATTTTTGTACCATCCCGGTACTTGGCCTGTCTGTCTGTCCATGCCGACATGTGTTTGTAACCATTACGTATCATACTACTACCTATCTACTATGCTGTCGCTCTTTTTGGTGATTTCACATCAAGCCCATTGGTGTATTGCTACTACTACGTGACGCTTTTGAATTTATGCCATTGGCGGGTGGAGTCGAGAAAAGAAAAAACCCTCTTTGCAACGGATGTATTCTGGGGCATGCATGAGAGTTGAGCTAAGGGAAATGTTTACTTCCACTTAGTTTGGGCCCACATTTTCTGGTGACACGCCCTAGTTGCCACCAGAAGCCACCACAGCTTGGGCACGTGGTGATGGAGGGTTACATACCGCTTATATGAGTGGCTTAAGCACTACTTGTCTACGGGATCTCAGCAAGAACTGAACCCTGAAAGAAGGGTTATTATGCGATATTGGTATCATTAACATTACTATCCTAGGGGAAGGGAATATCTCGATGTAGCGCTCCGCGTACACTGTACGCCGTCTATGAGCCCGCATGGGTAGGCGGAGTCAAGTTAGATGCCAGGGGTACCCCCCTGTCCTCCATTAGCTCGGCGATGCTGCGCTCAGACAACTCCGGAAGGAGCGTTGTGAGAATGGCTTCTATGATGGAATATATTAAATGCTTGTTGCAATAATCATCGGCAAAGAGGTCGAGAACCTCCTCAACGGCAGCGAGTAGGAGTGACTCCTCGTGGCCGCAATCTGCGGGTGAGACCGTGGATGACGCCTGGGGAGAGTCGAGCCAGGGCGATTCAGGCTCGTCGGAGCTATTCAGTCGCCCTGGGCGTCGGGACGACGGGTTATGCTCGATAGAAAAAGACGGGACACCGAAGAAACGACGTGCGATTGGGCGAGGAAGCCGGGAGAGAATGCTGGCCGCACAGCGTCGCTTGATAGAAGCAACGTCGGGCGTGGAAGGCCGCGGATCCGGCGATAAGGGCGCTGTCGCGGAGACACCAGACGAGGAAACGCTACTGCAAGCGTCACTTGCGCCAGCGGCGTCGTTAACAGACCCTTTCACTATAGGAGATGCTGGAGGCTGCACGGACAGCTGCGGCGCCGAAGCCGCGGCGCGACCATCTGCCGCTGTGGAAGCTGGCCGGGCGTTCAAAGGAAAGAGCGCGGCCCTAGTCGCAAGAAGCAGGTTTGGAAAAAGGGCGGGGGTAAGGACGTGATCGCGGATGGTCTCGTGAAGGAACCTAGTGGAGAAAAGAAAAACGTAAGAAAAAAGAAAATTAATAATTTTCTGAACATTGAAAATGAACTGAAAAACGATAATTAGGTTCAAGGTAAGGCATTCATCCCGAAGGGGAAACAGAAGGAGTCAACAGTCGAATCACACGGGGAGGTCCGCGATAGCCCCGAGGTAACAGTTGACACTTGACAGAATCTCAGACTGTGGAGAAGCGGTTTGCCCCATCAGGATAGTAATGACGGCCACACTCCGATAAAGTGAGCAAGTCCAGTAGCACTAGAAGAGGGATCTGCTTGGCTAGGGGGGCAGTACAGGAGCTTGGGCCAGCCATTGGTGCGAATGGAGATGCTGCCAGTGGTGAAGATGACGACAAGGTCGTGGACTGAGAGCATAAGCGCCTCGGATTCGTTCATCCGTCCAGCAACGGAGCAGAGAAAGATGACGATTCAGGCGTTGTTCGGGGGAAACCCAACCTAGGCGCCCTCCAAAAGCGTGTCTGAACGCACCATAGGGCCCCGGCGAGTCATGGCCGGGATTCCATCTCAGAAAGAAAAAATGGGGGCGAACTAGGTGATTGATTGGCTTGAAAATGGAGAACAGGACGAGATTCCGCCCTATCCATGCAATTCCCCAAGTCATAAAACCGTTTCGCTCAACCAATAGGTGCCTGATCGTCATGATTCATTTTGAAGGCCCATTAGCGTCGGTCCGTGGGCCAGGACCTCGACTACGCCCATTTCCAGGGGCAGGGATAGGCGGTCTTCGCTCGATTTAACTTCGAAGGAGGTGGTCGACTAGCCAGTAGTGCGAAAATTGCTTTTTTCAATGGTTCCCACCCTCTTAATCTTTGTGCGATCGATGCCGCGATCATTGTTTGACTGCCCCTCCGACCAGGTTGTGCACGGCACAAAAAAAGAGAGCTGGAGCTGGACGGGACGGAAGGGCCGGGCCAGCCCACGGCCCAAATTGACAGACCCATTGACAGACGGCAGCAGACTTGCAGACCAAACCAGGTCCAACGGAAGAGCAATTTAGAAAGTAAGTAGCAGTTCGGTATGTCCGAAGGCACCCCAGTCCCGGATGGCATGACCAGAGGATGTCAAAGCTCCTCTTTTCTTCCCCCGGGGGGGTAAGAGGAAGAGGGGGCACAGCCAGCCAGCCAGCCAGCCAGCCAGCCCGCCCGTCCAACATGCTAGCTAGCAGTTTAATCAACTGGAAATTTGATGTCTGCAGAACTGGCAAGCCAGACGAGAGTCCGGTGTCATGTAACGGACGGTACCCGTCTGGTAAGAAAACAGTACGCGCCGGTCACAGTTGGTAATGACGAGACGGCCAGGGGCTGGGCGAATGAGAGTCAAGAAGACGAGGGCGGGCGGGGGCTGCCATCCACCAGGCGATCAAGTGATCGTTGCAGCATGCGCGCAATGCGCATCCCACCTGCATACTCCTGCTGGCCCGCCGTCTTTACTCCAATGGCTTGCTTCTCGACCACTGCGCACCATCATCCTCTTGACCATCACTCTCGCAAACACACCGGTCGCCGCCGCCTGCGTAGATCATGGTTCGGAGATCCAACCGTACCGCTTCTCCACAGTTGGGAGACCACATGCCCCTTAGGGTCGCGCCGTCTCGCGCTTCGAAACACCCATCTGAATCCAACGGCCATCCGTGGCCTGTAGGAGATTGCTTGCGAGTGATGATGGAGGGGGGTAGGGTTTAGAAAATTTCAAATCGGGATGTGCGACTCACCTATCAAGAACACTATCCGTATCACCCAATTTACCTGGACCGGCCAGGATCAGATACTGGATCAGTGCGAGCATTCCACACAGCCAAGGCATCCGCTGCGGCACATCCATCACTTGCGAGACCATGCCATACAATCGGTAGTCCAGCACCGGGCGCTTCTTGGAGGTTGCGCACGAGGGGGGTCCGTCCGCGTTGCTGGTTGGAGGGCATGGTGTCAGGGACGCAGTAACCGGAGGAGCGGATGCAACGCGAAACAGGCCGATCACAATGAAACGTAAAGTCACGTAGATCATGTAGACATATTGTAGCGCTTGCCAGATCCAGTCGGGAACTGGCACTTGGACTTGAGACGATGAATGACCTTCCGTGAACGCTTCTTGAGAGAGAAGACCGTACTTGTGAAGTCTGGATCGCTGACGCATTGTTGCAGTCGCTGCATCCTCATCCTGTTCATTGCGCCCTACTCTGTCCACCACCTTCGTGATACTGTCCCACAAGAACCATCCTTCGCTGATTTTCCCGGCCACTGCGTTGCCCAGCACAAGATCTGCCAGGATGTCGCCGAGCAGAGTCCGCAGAGAAGCATTTTCCAGGTCTTCCGTGGGAAGTAGCACCGCTAACATGCCGTGAACCAATAGTTGCCGATAGATTGATTCATTTTCTCTTTGCTGTGCAACAGCTTGAGCGTCTGATGGGTCGGGAATCGGTGAGAGGCCTGGATGCGGATTCAGAGCATGATAAAGCTCGCGGAGCGGAGGAGATATCGAAGACTGTTCTGATTGTTGCTTCGCTAGTCTATATGCTATAGACAACCAAGGCCGCGGTCAGCTCATGTACCTCTCCTTAGACGTCGGACAAGACGCAAGGTCTTACATGTAATGTGCCTCTCAACGAGAGCAGGAATCTCATCAAGAAACAGCTGCGCAACATCGGCCTCGCGCAACCTCTGCTCAAGAGCGCGGGTGCAGTGTGCAATGACCTGCAGGAGTTCGTTCACGAGCACCTGATCCGATGTGATCTTTGAGTACCAAGTGTACACAAACTCCTTGACGATGATGGCAATCAGCGCATAAAGCTGACGATCTACCTCATTCGAGCTCGTAAGTGGAGGCAGCAGATCTTCCGGAGGCTGAGGAGTAGTGGCACCCCCATGGTTACCAGCTTGAGGACATAGGACGCGTCGAATTAGAGCAATCGTCGCCTTGTCGCTCGTCGCATTAACTGAATCCTCTCGACTGGCATGTTTGACTGGCTGCGGGCGCGTCGGAGTTTGGGCAAAAGACTGCAGAGTTGGAGACGAAGGCACAGCCGTCGACTTCGAGCTGGAGGTCGTTGGGCCAGCTTTGAGATGCGACAGCGGATGGAGGCCCGGGCGGAGAGGGTCGCTGGTCATCTCATCGCAGGAAAGCAGGCAGCACGGGAGCAAAAGGAGTAGACCGTTATGATACCTAGTATGTACAGAGCAGATATAAGAAATCAAGCAGTCGGAGAGAAAGGCGCTCCCGGTGAGAATGCCATCAGGCAGGGGAAGCAAGAGCAGCAAGCCGCGGCAACTGCGACGGACTTGGAGGGATGACGCTCTGTCCCTGCCGTATCGGGAAGGTAGGGCTTAGGGCTGATCTGAACCCGTGCCCGCCGATAAGGCTTATCGGCACGGGGTTTTCTTATCTGTCTGCAATCCCCGCAATCGCTTTTCGCTGTCATCTCGGCGTCCCCTCTTTCTCCTTTTTTTTCCCTTTATATCTTTTGGTAGCGCTATACAATGGCTTCCTCAGTGGACACGCCGATCCCCTTGTGGCTGGACTGTGATCCAGGTAGGTACTTCTTTTCCATCCAAGTGTAGCTACGCTAACAAGCACTCAGGCCACGATGTGAGTATAATCTATGAGTCAGAGAAAATCAAGTATACAAGGTTAACCACTCAGGAGTTTTGGCCCATATATAGGATGCTTTCGCCATTCTCCTTGCTGCACACCATCCCTCGCTGAAGCTTCTCGGTATTACCACCATTCACGGCAATGCCTCCTTGGAGAATACCACTATCAATGCCACTCGGGTCTTGGAGGCCATCGGCCGGCCAGAGATCCCCGTGTACCCCGGAAGCAAGAAGCCCTTCTGCAGACCCGCTCTCCATGCGCCCAATATCCACGGTAAGCATTGCGCATGAATGTGCTTCCACTAAAGCAGAAGCCCGTGAGAATAACCTTTGAGAAATATAGGTGACTCTGGTCTGGACGGTACCGACCTCCTGCCCAAGGCCTCGACGGCCCCGATCACAGACAAGAACCCCATTCTAGCCATGCGGGATGCCCTCATGGCGCACCCCAAGGGTACACCATGGGTTGTTGCAACCGGCACATTGACCAATGTTGCCCTATTGTTCGCGACTTTCCCCGAGGTTGCGGAGCACATTGCCGGTCTGACCATCATGGGTGGAGGTGTTGGTGAAGGATTCACCGACGCTCCCATGAGCAGACTTGAGGGACAAGAAAACAGAATTGGCAATGTAACGCCCCTTGCTGAGTTCAACATCTACGTATGTCCCCTATACTACTACCTCCCAAAGTCACCTTCTCTTAAGAGACCGACCTCCTGTATCTAACATTACTAACACCATATAAAACCAGTGTGACCCCGAAGCCTCCCAAGCCATCTTCAGCGACCCAGTCGTTGCATCCAAGACCACTTTGATTACTCTCGACCTCACCCACCAAGTCCTTGCCGACCAGAGCGTCCGGAACCTCGTCCGCCACGGCGTGGACGATGCCTCCGTCGAGCCCACCACCCTGCGTCAGATGCTATACGAGCTCCTGATCTTCTTCGCCAATACTTACGAAACCGTCTTCGGTCTTTCCACCGGTCCTCCCCTGCATGACCCCCTTGCTGTGGCGGTCATCCTGTCAAACTTGAACCCTGCCTACGCGAAGAGCCACCCCGACCAGGTTCTGAAGTTCGACGACCGCGGCGGAGAGCGCTTCTCCGTCAATGTCATCACAGACGGACTCCATGGAACTGACATTGCGCTGGTGGGCTCGCTGGGTCGGTCTGTGGTTGAGGCGAACCCTAACGCGGTTTGCATTCCCCGTGGTGTGGATCTGGATGCGTTCTGGCATATGATCAATGACTGCATCAAGCGGGCGGATAAGTGCAATGCGGCAAGGAAGGCCTAATGTTGTTTCTGCGGCATGTGTTATGCAGGACTTTTCTCCCTTTGGAGGCGATATTTGATATTAGAATATTGAGAATTGCTTCTCAATGAATAGTACATAGATATATTAGATAAAAGAAATACTGCATAGCCCGGTTCATCATGCTTTCGTATAGGTCAACACTATCTATTCACGCTATGCTAGATACACTAAACAACTTTCAAAGAAGCTACCACTCGCGGATGCCCCCATCAGGTCCAAAGAATTCCTTAGGTGCCCATGGTTCGGAGTTTACCGCCAACTGCCTGACCAGCTCCTCATTCACGTCAATTCCCAACCCCGGCGCTGTCAGAGCATCCACATATCCATCCTTGACGGAGAATACGCTAGGATCCTTGACGTAGCTAGTAATATCATATTCGCCTGCTTCCGTATTATAGTGCATCCCCAGACTCATTTCCTGAATGACAAAGTTGGGAGTCGCCAAGTCCACCTGCATACACGCCGCCAAAGCGATGGATCCCAGAGGACAATGTGGGGCAATTGCAACATCATACGTTTCAGCCATGGAAGCTATGCGTCGTAGCTCGGAGATGCCTCCGCAGTGAGCGATATCGGGCTGGAGGATGTCCACACTCGCGTCTTCTAGGAAGCGTTTCACGTCCCAGCGGCTGTAGAGGCGTTCACCGAGGGCGATGGGGCAAGACACTTGATCCGATAGCTGCTTGATGGCTTCGGGATGTTCAGAGAGGAGCGGCTCCTCCAGGAAAAGAGGGCGGTGCGGTTCCAGGGCTTTGGCGAGCTGTTTGGCCATTGGTTTGTGGAGGCGGCCGTGGAAGTCGAGGGCTGCGTCTAAGCCGAGTGCTTTGACGGTTTTCAGCCGTTCGACGGAGGAGTCCAACGCACGAGGGGAATCGAGCCAGTTGATGTCCTCGGTAGCATTCATCTTGATGGCTTTGAAGCCTTGCGCGAGACGAGCTTTCCCGGCTGCTTCGACATCGGAGGGCCGATCTCCTCCGATCCATGCGTAGACGGACAGTTTGTTCCGGACTTTGCCTCCGAGGAGCTGGTAGATGGGGACGCCAAGGCGACGGCCCTTCAGATCCCAGAGTGCGATGTCAATTCCTGAAATGGCGGACATGAAGACCGGGCCTCCGCGGTAGAAACCCAGACGCCAGGCCATTTGCCATATGTGTTCGATTTCACTGGTCACTCGAGATTAGTTGGATGCCTTGCCCAGCAGGGAGGGTGGATATGTACTCGGCTTCGTAACCCTGGAACCGCTTGCAGAGAGCATTCAATGTGCCTTCAACGGCCTCGGTATGGCCTTCTAGAGTACTCTCACCCCAACCGCATTGGCCATCTTCATCGACGATCTTGACGAAGAGCCAACGGGGAGGGACGCGGAAGTACTCGATGGACTTGATCTTGACCATGCTGGCGAGTGACTATATTTGCTGATTGAGAATGAGTCGATCTCCTGGTGGGCTGGCAGATACACAATATAGACGACGCAATGAGACAACAAGTGATATTTATGATGGTGAAGAGCAATCGGAGTTGCTCCGTCTACCAGGCCGAATTACCGACATGGCTCCATCACGGAGAGGATGAATAGATGGGTTCTCGCAATGGTGGAACTTGGCGACACGGCATCCGATCGACCAAGACCAGACCATGCAGGATGCCCAGGAATGAGAGGAGATTGGCTTTGGCATGAAACGCACCGTTAAAGCCATAGTGGACTCGGCTTATAGACGGACGCTGTCATCCTGCATTAGTTCACATAATTCCGGGGTGCGTGAGGTATTCAAGAGTGGAGTTCGATGAGAATCCCTTGCATGTTTCGCTAAGATGGATGAGACGGCTGTGCAGGTCTTCCCCTTTGATTGGAAAATAAAGTGCGTAGCGTGATGATTGTTGTACGTAGATATCTAAATGGTCTAGTGGAGTATAACTATGGGGCACATCCGGGGTTCTGTCCAGGCACAGAACCCAGCGTCGGAGGATGGAGGGGGTGAGCCCCGTTGTGTATGAGGAATGTTTAAGATGTCAAAGACAACTATGCAGCGATGGAGATAAATTCAGCAGGTACAAGGAAGGCATAAAGTCTCCCGGAAGAGATTGTAAGGGAAACTAAAGGAAGGAAGTTCAAACGAGAAGTCGGCGAGGGGTGCCCGATTAGGCAATCCAGTGACTCGGCGGCTTTTGGATTTGCTTTGGAATCGAACTTCCTGCAAGTCAAAAACCTCATCTTCTTCCTCACATTCTGTTGCTTCGGCATCGCCGCTCGTCTTTTTGCACCCTTCCAACGGTCGGGAATTTATGTTTCACTCGCTCCGGCTCCTCGATTTGAGCTACTACTTGTTGGGGATTTTCCTTTCTCCTTGAACCGCCTCCTGGTGGATGCGATCTCCCATCATCCATCTTCCTCCCTGGCGGACTGCCTCTCCGCCGCCACTCGATCTACACCTGTTGCTTTCACTCAGATCATGCCCCCCGTCAACTCGCCATCGGTAAGTTGTCACTACTCGCTCTGGCCCTCCATCCATGTCGATTGTTCCTGCGTATCCCCGTACCTCGGGACGGTCGCCACTTTGACTCTGCGCAGACCGTGGGATTGAGGTACCAAGCCGATGTTGTGACGTGCCTTGCCTTCTCGGTTGATGCCATCGACATTTTCCACTCTAACCTTCTCTCCTTTTTATCACAGGATCCCCCCGCTCAGTCGTCTTCCGCTTCTTCGTTTCGGCCTTTGACCGCGCTCTCCTTGCCTGTTCCCTCGCTCCCCGCAGCCGTGTCCGATGACGCTCATGATGATAACGTGAGCTTTCTCCGATCTCGTGTGCGCTCCCCACCAGACTCGACTTCTTCACTCAGTCGCCAGCGCCGACGTCGACAGCAAATCGCGTCTGATTTCGATCTAGAGCCCATGGAGCTGGATGATCCGTCCCACTTGCGCATCGAAATCAACCGCCGCATCCCCATCGTGCGCCGTCAACGCGACGCCTCCGGCAACCCCAACTTGACCAATCTCCCCAACTACGAAGGTCAGATGTCGAATTCCCGCTCAGTATACGGCTGGGCTCCGGCCTCCGATGACGATGATGATGATGTAGGCTACGAGCCGCTTCACGACAGTAACACCATCTCATGGTTCGGCCGATTCTCCGATCGCTACGCGGCTGCTCGTCGCCACGCGCGCCGGGATGCCGCTGGTCGAAGTCCCCCAACACTGCCAGACGAACCGTCTGACGGCAGTTCCAATCGCCAAAGCGACCCGGCTCTTTCGACAGCAGAGGCTTTCTTACAGTCGGTGCGACGCCAACAGCGGGGTTCGCGAACACGCGCGCGGGCGCTT